GGAGTCCGTTTCAAAAGTCACTGGGATGGTGCAAAAATTTTAAGTAATGCAGTCAAAAATAGATCCCTTCACTCTTCAAAAGATCCCTTCACTTTGGAAGCATAGAGAGAAACCTTTGGAAAAGCCTACGACGCTTTTTGCATCACATAAAAATGACCAAATACTTAATCGAATTCATGAAGCATTTGAGAAAACAAACTGTGAAAAACCAGCACAAATGAACTGAGCGGGTATTTATTTATCATGCTGCTGAAAGCGCTTCTGAACCAGCAATCGATATAGACGTGCAGGCCATTCCATAATCTCACAAACGGAAGACATCTTAAAGTCAAAGCTTTTATTCAAATTATAAATTTTCAGTAGTGCACAAATCTTGCACGTCATGTAAATTGTTTCTTAAATTCACATAAAGACGTAATCATCGTTAATCACACGCGCTGAAAATAGTTTCAACATTTCACCGTTTTGAAGATGAATTCAACATTTTGAATTTTACTATGCTCATATTACCAATGATGAAATTTACAACTGAATGCATGTATGTAGCAGAAGGAATCCACCTATATGCCTAGCTACTATGATCAACAGATTCACATTCTCATGATCAAATTTCATGTGACCATGAACATTCATATCATAATATTATATAATAATGAAATTTCATTAATTCTGTGGCAATATTTCAGTCTGCCGTTCCTGTCTGCTGTCACATTTGAGTCACGAGTCACGCTGTCCGAAATGCGCGTGTGATCTCGGTAATGAGCTATCAGAGGCGTTTATTCGTGATGAAACACTACAGAGACTTGTCTATAAGATGGTGCCGGATGTGTATTGGGAAGAAATGCGACGACGAGGTGAATTCTATAAGAGACGAACCGTATCAAATGACGAGAAGGCGTTGATGTTCGAGAAGGTATGTTGTGACTATCGATTGCCTCCTATTGTTATAAACTGTTCTTCGCATCAAATAAACAATGTCTGCAAGAATCTCTGTGGATAAAAAAGTGCTGTTGATCTCGACTTTACTTGACTGAAATTTCTATCGAACAAATGCATCTCTTAAAGAAAAATCGTTTTCCAATTACATCAACGCTCAGTGTGTCATCGTTTGACATTTCGATAGTTTTCACGCAGTCGACGAATTTAATAGAAATTCAAAAGATGAATTGTGTTAATCAAGAAATCGATGAATGAGTTGTTTTTTTTTGGTGGCTGCAAATGTAATTTGATCATTATAGAAGCACTGTTTGGAAGAATGCCATTCATTGCAGAGCCTTATACAACTCTCGTCGGAATTATGTGCACCAAACGAGTTGGTTTCATTATGTATCGAGTATGTATCAGCCGGACCATCCGATTCGGATGAGACGACGCAAACGAATCAAATGGAAATTGATAAGGATGACGAGGACGAAATGAAACCGAGCACGTTGGCTGAGGCCGATCGAATTGAAAAACAAGAGCGATACTTGTTTTCCTTTAAGAGGTTCGCTTATTCTCATCGTTTTTCATTGATATTTTATGAACACATCGTCACTGGCCACAAATCGGATGTGTGACCAGCGGTCAGCATCGGAAAGTCGTTTGCGCTCAGTGTAAGCTTAGTCGTTTATATTCATGCAGATAGGAATAATTACTAAAACGGAACGAGATTTTATGCACTTTTTTTAGCGCAGACATTGATTAGTTCGAAATTTTCGAATCCTCACGAATCATTTATCTTATGCAATGATATCGAAGAAACGAATAATTCTTTGTTCTTAGCTCTCCGCCAGCAAAAAGAAGCGTGGTCTCATTTGCTTTGCTTGTAACCGCTAATTATATGCACTGAAAAGGACATTCTGATAATCACGGATGTATTCATACAATTCAGTCTTTCATACAGACTTGTTAATGTTGAATGAATTAACCGTATCATATTTGTTGTTGATATTTTTGGGATTAGTTGTTTGCACGAATTGTGGAAATTATTTTGTTGCGGAATTTTGAGTGTTTTTTGGAAGAAGGTGTTGGTTAGGGAAGAGATGGCAGGGACCGGATAGGAATGTTTAGCAGTTGAGGAACAAAGCAAGTTTCATCATCAAATTCGATTCATTCATTCTTTCCAGATCAACTGTTCATTGTTTTTTAAGCTATCACATTCCTTTGCTACCGCATATCCGCCTCATTCATTTCGTGTTTTCTCAACCAATTAATATTCTCGTGTAAACAAATATGCATGAAACTGCCGTATAGTTGCGAATAACACATTGGGATTTATTGTTATCAGTCTTTTGAGAATACCTCACATCGATTCAAGCAAAATCAGTTGATCTTCACCAGCAAGCGTTCTGTACCAATCAATATGTTGCGTTAAGTCAGCTGTTAGCTCATGATGTTATGAGTCCTATCGAAATAAATGAAATGTCAGATCTTTCTGTAAAATCTAAGAAAATTTCGAAACAGTTTTCATCAACATCATGATAGTGTTCTCATTCTCAGACAGTATCAATTCATTTTAAAAAGTTGTCGTTTGATTCAGTTGCAAGTTGTTTTTACGAAACATTCTGAAATTGTTTGAAAAACCGTTGATATGGAAGATTAAAAGAAACTGTTCAGGTATTTTCGATGCATCGCAGCCACAACAATCGGAGCACTACGGAAGCTGATGGAAGCGAAGTTGGAGGTGTCCGATACATATAAGTTATTATTTATCGATACAGAATGTAATTCAACATTGGACGATTGCTGTACATTACAAGATGTTGCCTATATGTTCTCGTGGAAACGTGATGCACCGATGCGAATTTTATTCACTCTCCAGGTAAATCCATTTTCATCTCGTCACTTTTTTTGAGTTTTACCAATTCCACTATGGGCCATATTACTCGGTTCAAATACATTTATATTCAGAATCAGTGCACATCAAGGGTTTTCTCTGTCTTCTCATTTGCCTGATGTATCCATTCATTAGTTGTTTCGAGATAGTGCAGGAGGATGATAGACGATAAATGGCCAAAAATAGTCTTTCTTCATGATTACTCATTTTGAAACATCAGCAGTCAACATGAAACAGTCGTTGCGTTGGTTGTAATACGAACTAATTTAGCGACGACTGAAAATATAGTTGATTTCAATTCTGTACTGACCAAGATAGTGTTGGCCAGCCAAGGTTGTATTAACCGACAAACGACCAAAATGAATCTTAATCGATTGTTATGTGATTTTTCGATCATAATTGCAGCGTCATCTAGAGGAGGAGAAGCCGCCAGTGTTGGATATGGAATTAATGCCTGAACTGGTTGCTGAAGAGCCTTCGCCTCAATCGTTGTCAGGAGCTATGCCGAGCTGCGCTCTCGAAACAGCGGTTCAACTACCCGCTTTGACAGTATCGCTGAATACGTCTATGATGGAAGGGGGCTCTATTCATCAACCCATTATTACTACTGGTGTTCAACCTCCGCCCAGGTAACGTTCACTGACTTATTTCTTTTCCATTCCGATTTCACTTCAAATCCAGCCAGGTTTATTACCATTTTCGGTGTATAATTTGACTCAATTTTGTATAATTTGACATGGTGAGTTCCTAATATATTCAATGTATAATTTCATTTCGTCACAGAGGCAGCAATGAACTCAGTTTCATTGTGGGTATTTTTTGTGAAAATTCTTGAATATTGTTGAGAAGTGATCAGTGAACAGAACCGATGAAGGAGAGTAGGTTAAAATTAACGAGCAGTTCTTTGGAGAGTAATTGCTCCCATAAACACTGTCTGCAAAATACCTTCTAATGTACAAGCGTAGATTATAATTGGATCAAACAGTAGTAATTTTGCAGGAAGAAACGAAAACCGTCGTCCCCAACCAAGAAGCATCAGCAACATCATCACAATCAACACCAGCAAGCAGCGTCGTCGTCATCTGCTTCTGTCTCTCCAGCGCCGCCTCCAATCCAAAGAATGATCGGAGTGTCGCCGTTGGCTAAAGGGCCTCCACCAGTCTCTCAACCGCAGTCATCTCCACAATCATTAACCAATCGTGGTGCTCATGATAAATCTGATTCTACTACTCACAATTCAAACAGCAACACTGCTAGCAGTAGTAGTGCATTTAGTTCAGCGTCCTCCTCAAAAAAGACGCCATCTCCATCAACAAACGCCAATAAGTCATCGCATCATCACGATCGAATTAATCTATTATCATCATCGTCATCAAAACAGCAGTCATCATCAAACGATCACAATAACACAATAACACCTCCAGCAGCGAAACAACTCAAGTTGGAATCCAATACAACACTGCAACCGTCTGCACAATCGCCCGATGCCAAATTCGTTTGTTCACAGTTCGTTTCTCACATTCATTTTCACACTCTTTCAAAGTTCTTTTCCACAGTTAGAACTAATTTTACATGCACACCTCTTGTGGGTTCTGGTCTTAACCAATCATTGTTCTCATTTCGACGAGTTTTTGTTGACCAGAACAGTTTTGATGTTTAATGATACTTGACAAAGTATCAAGGCACCTTTATGATCATACCTGGATGACAGTCCTAAGCAAAGATACAGCTTAACAGTGGTATTGTTGATGAATGGCTTCGAAAATAGAACTTCATAACCCTAGTGCTTATGAAGTGTTGGAAGAAAAAGCATAAATTGTTGGCAATTACTGAATGAATCGTGGCGGTATTTCGCACAATTCGCTCAGTAATTATTCGTTCTTTATTTACTCTCACAAAACATGTTCATTTCAGGATTCAAAAGATAATTACTTCGTCAAACACGAGCACTTCTAAGCCAACCCCAGAATCACCTTGTTCGAACACTTCAATTTCAACGCATTCCAGTTCGAATAACAATAACAATGAGCACAGCGCCAGCAATACGTCTTCGTCGACCGAATACGAACCAGGGGCGGATGGCGCTTGTCTGTCCAGCAGTTCCAATAGTGCCAGTTCAACGACAACCCATTCTTCGAATACCAGCAAACCACATAACACCAACAGTAATTCAGTTGCCTCGAATAAAAATCAGTCGTCAGCCAATGATAATACTGATAAAAATGACAACAAAAATGCGTCAAATTCGAGTACTTCCTCGAATGGTCAACATAATAATACGACCCATAAGAGTGCGAATGGTCAGTTGAATGCACAAAAAATCACCCATCTGATCAGCAATGATACTAATAATAAAGAATCGAGCAACACTTCTAATCATAACACCAATAACAATATGTCGTCATCCCAAGCACTCTGTGCTAGTGCTCCGAACTCGAATATTCCAAATAACCAACAACCGATTCATCCGCGACCCATTCAGCCACGTCCAGTTGTTGAACCAAAGACCAATTATGAAGCATTAGTGAAGAGTTTTTCAGTAAATGGCGTTAATAAGGCAAGTTTCTTTTGTTACTATGGCCTATTCATACAGTCCTTATCGTATTTTACATTTCATTCATTTGATCTAAGGATGACCATCTTCTAAAGACTTTCATCGTTTGTTTTTCCTGATTAAGAGTATCCTATTAATCACCTTATATTTTCGAATTCATCTGCAAACAGAGCAGATGAGTTTAATGTTTAAGTCTAACATCGTGATTATTTTGTGAAGATGAAAATTTATTATGGTGAGTATGAGTGCGTTTTCATTGGCGATCAAGAGTAATATAAAGGATATAATTTCAGTTTTCTGCATTCGCTTTGGATGCGAAACAAGCGAAAAATTTCGCAGCACATGCAATGCACGTGCAATCGTCAATATTTCTCGATCCAAAACTCGCAGCACAACCTATCAAACAAGTTTTATCCAGTAGGGGAATGCCTCTCATGCCCGACACATCACCATATTTAAGGTTTGTTGCATTCATACAGCTATACGATTGAATATGAATATAGCAGCTATCTATCGATCCATCAAAATGCACTTTGCAATCGCGTTGATTAACGAAATTCTTTTTACTTGCTGAATGCTCATGCAAAAGCTGTTTAAAGCGTTTATTGTTACTAAAACGAAGTGGCAAGTGCAAAGAGATATCGAAACGTTCCAAATCAACTGCCAACTTCGTGTTCAGTTCAAAATTTTTTCGACAATATTTCGAGTGATTTGTCACATTACTATTGTTCAGATGCTTTCTGCAGAGTCATATGATCACCGACCATCTTTCAGGCATCAACCCGCGCAACTCGCCGCCAGTTTTATGCAGCATCTGCAAATGCAAAGGTTTCAAGCTGCAGCAGCTGCCGGCTTGAGTCCTACAGTGACGAGCGCCTCACTCTTGCATCATCCGGTCAGCGGCGGATGTCCAACTCCCCCGTCAGCTCCGCCAACTCCATCGCTGGGTCTGAGTCTCCCTCAACAACCGCCCACTCAACAGCAACTGAAACTACCGACTGCATCTGCGGGTAGTGCTCAGGCAACGAAACTGCTCAATCCGAAGTCGTCATCGTCTGTGCATCAGTCAACGTCCTCGTCAAAAATCCAAACAAAAATTGGTGCCTCATTGCAGATTCCAACCGCGCATATACCACCGTTCATGAGTCAGAGTTAACTGCTCGTTGATCGCTCAATAAAAATTTCTATCTCTCTGATCAGCTTCTTGAAAGAAATAACTCTCATTCATTTTTTTGCATCCAATATGGACGTCTGACTATTTGCATTTATTTTGAATCGTGCATATTTACACTGCGGTCGTTGAATTAGTTTGAACCTGCAGTGAAGGCANAATGGAAGTGACTTGACGTTGAATCCCGATTTTTTGGTGGGAATACTGTTAATGTGAAGGGTAGTCATCTCATTTAGGTACTTTATTGAGCAGAAATCTCATTCAGATACTTTATTCGTTCGAATCACCTACAGTCGGAAAAATTAGTATGCTAAAGCATCGTTGAGTGATCACGTAATTAAGGGCGATTCCGGTGTTTATTTATGGTGTAATTTGTGAAGAACGGTGTTGTGAGTTATTATATAACAAATGTGTTTATTACCTCGATTTGTTTTGCTTGGATTATGACCGTTTTGAGTGATATTATCACATTGTCTTAGCTGCTCCGTTCTCGTTGACGCTGATTAATATTAGTTCATTTGAGTGTGAAAGATCGATACTAAATGATGTTCTATTTGCCTTGTTGTAAGTATGCTTCATCGTCGTTCATCGAAGACTATGTATGTCCAGTCTTTAATGAGCCAGTTTTCGTTTGGAACGTTTCTGTGAGCTTCGATGAACATTTTTAATGTTCACTTTTCGAGCTTAATGGAATCAGTAAGATTTCCTCATTTATCGTCATGATTTCATCGAAGAACCAATATTTTCGAGCGTACTCTTTTTTTGATAATAACAGAGGGTAAGCCACTCAAAAGATTTAAAACTATTCTCCGTTCCTGATTTCACGCTTATCATTTCCGTGTTATTCATCGTTGAGCCAAACTGTTTGCTTGATTTAAAACGTGCAGCGACTAAATTTATATTCTTCTTTTTTTTCCCATTTTACGTTCACAATCTCACGCAGTTATTCGACGAATCGTTTTGGGCTGTTTTTTTTTTCGCTACTTTCATGTACTTCAGATGGGTTATCATTTTTGTGCTCTGTAAAGGCATTATTTTCAATGGAGGGAGTATGCCTCTTCGTGATGAATATAAGTGGAATAATGTAGGATACGGGTGAATGGAGTGGAAGAAAATGAAAATGAGATGAAAAGTTATATTTTTGAGAGTCATTGTTATCGTTTCTTGCTTATTTGCTAATATTATAGTCAGTTTTATGAGGTGTGGAATGAGCGTTCTATTGAATAATATGATTATGTGCCGTTCACTTTCGTTGTTGTTTTATTTATTTGTTTTGAATATGATTGATATTTGGAGTGATTCGTTGTGTCACTTTGATATCGATAAGATGTTTATGATCAGTTGTTTTTGATCACTTATTTGGGTTATTTGATTCATTTTGATGCGTTTCGTTGTACATTTATTAGTTTTTGTAATATTCTTATGCAAAGAAAACTATCTCGAATAAATATTCGAAAAATTGAGTCCATCTCATCTACGTACAAATAATTTACCGCTGTTTATTGCCGTTCTAGATACAAGATAATTTACATACGCTAGCGTCCACTTACAAATTGGTTTCTTCCCTGAAACTGACGGCTGCGAGGATTTCGGAGGAAAACTAGATTCCGCAATTATTGTTCGCTGAACGCCGACACGTTATTTGTATTGGCTGTTGTCGGCTATGTTACAGATACCGTAATCATTTGCATCTGTTTGATATAGATCCCACCATGATTTGAGTACGGTAGTCATAAAGCATTCAAAAAACTGCAAGTTTGACATGGGCGCGACCGAAGGAGCGATTGCGTAGCAAGCGTGATTGCTTTTTATGATTGCGCATTCAGTGGGTTATCAATATCGAACTGATAAGTAAGATTATTTAAGAAGTTAAGAGATGTAATTAACGGTAATCGTCGTTTCTACGTTGATATATACCCAAGGGCAAAGCCATGTTTTTATTTGTTATCGCACACAATAACTATATGCCTTTATTTGGATTTCTGAATTGGTTGAGATCGATACAGTTCATGCCCAAAACACCTATTGATTACAGTCTGTAATATACTGTTAAAAACATGTTTTGTACATTCGTAGAAACGATAGCCGAATATACTAAATTGCTTAAAGGAAAGCAACTAACGTTGTAGCCACCCTGAGAAAAGTAGAATGCGTTGATAATATGAATTAGCCAACCACTAAAATGCTCTCATCAGTTTCCAGTTGATATGAGAGCTTTCAACCTTATTATAGATGAATTAAAATAATTGGATCACTCCAGCTACTCGACACTAAATCAGCTCATCCAACATATCGCCAGCAATAATTTGAAAGTACTGAATAGATTCATTTCAAAATCAGTGTGCTATTTGTCAACTTAATTTGTCATTCACTTTAATTCTGCTCGTCCATAGTGTGAGTTAACAGAATCCTCGTTACATTTGGATCGTTTTATTATTTACACATTGCGAACAAATATTTTGTTGTTGCATTGACATTCTTCGTTTCTGTGATATTGACATCAGATACGCATCAGTGTCATTCTCTACGACCGTCAAGTAGTCATTTGCTGCATCATCCGCTCGTAGCATCTCCGCTAAAACCGTTTTGATCTCCTCGAATGTTGGCCTCTTCGACGGACTCTCATCCCAGCAACGACACATCAAACTGTATCTGCACATTTGAATTCAACATTCAGCAAAATTTTATTCTCTTAAGATCTGTATTAAGTATGTGCCGAAACGATCGAACAAACTTACATTTCATCGGGACAATGTGTTGGTTTTTCGTTACGATTACCTCTGTCCAGGTGGGAAATTATGTCTCGTGGGTGTACGTCTGGAAACGGTGCATCACCGAGACTGAACAACTCAAACAGTAAAACAGCATAAGACCACCTGAAACGTGAACTTGCCACATGCTCATATAACACAAAAACCCTGGCAAATCAAACGCAAAGAGCGCTCCTCATAAGGGGTGATTTGAATGCATCAAAACGAACACATCAGATTTGGTTGTGTATTCGTGTCGTCTTAACGATTCGATAGCCATCCATTTGACCGGTAAACGTCCACCGTTTGGCGTGTACAGTGCTTGATCCACGTAACGACACAACCCAAAATCACCAATCTTGAAGTGCAACGAAATACTTTAGAACATAATGCGTATTTTGATGTGCGAGAAGATTTTCTAGGTAGCCAAATAGTTGCTGGAAATGTCAACTTATCGGCCACTATTCAGTTGTTGTGTAATGGGTGAAAAAAAAGCAATAACATTTTGAAATGAAATAACATTTTGTCTTTTTGATCACCAAATTTTTCTCATATCATAACGACTGACTAACTTTTGCGACAAGATTTTTCGTGAGCAATACGTTACGAGCAGCTAGATCTCGGTGCACCAACTTTCGTGAGCTTAAATAACACTGCAATTCAACGTTCAACGATAATAATTATCTCACCGATTGCAGCTATCAATTGAACACACATTCAATCGTCTGCGAAAGAATAAAATCTGCGTGAAATACGTATAATAGTGGAATGGTGGTAAGTAACTCGTCAGCTGAACAAAAACAAAAATCTTCAAGATTTTGTTTAATGATAAAGGCAGATAGATACAAGTAATGAGAAAACGTTCAGTTCGCATCCGTTGTTTATTTACCAATGCTCTAAATGTTGACTTAGCAATGTTCAATGATGTCAAAACAGTTCTATGACGTGATTATTAATATGTTCTCGGAATGCATACCATTCCATCACATACTTGCCAGGCAATCGAAATCAGATCTTTTGTATCAAAATGGAGTCCACCACAATGCTCATCGCACCTTGAAGTTCCGTTCTAAATGACATGAAAAGTTCCACATAAAAATTCTTGGACAATGTGAATGAGTGACTTCTTCAACTTTCACTGAACTTTAACGTACGCATTTCGATGTCATTCTCCTCACACTCACTTTAAAATAACTCTATGGGTTTTGCAATAAAAGTCAGTACTTTGAGTGCTTGTTCAAGGCCATTATATTGGGATCATATTGGAGTAATATGATAATGCAATGAATATTTGAGCAAAATGATGACAACGTGAATAGTGAACTAACCGCGACGAAATTTAATCTATTATTCCTTAAGAACCGCAGCAAATCGCCGTTCGCACATAGCTCTGTAACGATTTTGGGTGCAAATGGATTTGATACACATCCAATTAAAGAAACAATATGTGCATGATAGCCAAGTGTTTTCATGAAATCGATCTCCTTGAAGAAATCCACACGACTTGCTTCATCCGCATACGTCGGCAACAGTTTCACTGCTACCTGCAACTACCGTTTCAGATCAAGTTTTTTTTCTCAATAATTCATCCTCATTCTTATCAGATCACAAGATCCTGATTATAATCTTTGAGTAGACCCTGATTGTTTAGCCAGTGTTCTAAATATTCACTGAATCATGATATTTATCATGCAGCATTTTCAGTTGAGATATGCGGTCAGTTCTAGACTGTAGATCACGCTCACTGTAAGCAACCGTTGACGTAGTTAATACAGTATCGACGATCATCAGAATAACGAATAGAATCATTTTAATAGAGTACGATATCAACGAGCAAAATGGTCTACGGAGCTGTTCATCAAAAGTAATCAGTAACTAACACACCTCGTTGGAAACATTCTCGATAGATTCGATAGCCAGATTAAGGTTTTTGATTATGCGAGTGGCAGGTAGCTGTCCCTTTAAGGTGCCTTTGCAACAAACAGCAAACGCACCCTTTCCCAATATTTCATTCTCGTGGATACTTAGTTGGTCTTCTGCGATTTCCCATTCATCACCGCTGAAACATGAACTAAATATTCCACTGATATGTACACATGACAAGAGATAGACCGTTCCTCCATGTGATGAACATTTTTAAGTTAACCCCTCATTAAGCTGCGACCAACTTCTTGATTGCTTCATTTTCCCAAATAGCCTCCAGCTCTCAGACAGGCANGGGGACGGGGAAGGGGGGGGGGGGTTTATCTCAAAATTCAAATAACTAGAGAATGTATTTTGGGGTCGTTTTCGTCCCCTCACTAAGTCTAACCGGACGATGTCGTGCTCTCTTGTCATTTCCCAAGCTTTAAGCTCATTACATCTCTGAAATGTCACTAAGCACTGGATATATCTTTTTCCCGATGGATTTGCGTCCTTTCATGGAGAGTTACTATCTCCAGAAAATGACAACCCGCCAAACGCATACTGCGGTCATTTTCCGCTCCAAAAAGTCGTCATTGAAGAATTGATCGTTGCGACTACAAAGACCAACAAACTTGGTCCTTCGCATTCCCCCTCGACTGCTAGACTGAGCATGATGCCGACCAGGCGAACATCGCCGTTTCCTTATTCACATCCACGTCACCTCATGACTTCTTAACAGGTTTTTTAAATTCCTCCTCAGCAGTCATCAAGCATAGGTACAGATGGAAGCAATCCTCACTCATCATTTCGGTTCCAAACGCAGTTTGATTGATTAGATAATGAGCGAAAGTTTGGAAAATGGTGAATTACACTTGCAGAGTAATAAGTCAGCTTCATTCTGTCATATTTAGCTAATGATAAAATAGTGGATGACTCTTTTCGTACCAGATCAGTCCGTGACGAAAGTTAGGCAACAGGTGGAAGATGTGTTTATACTCAGCAGATGAGAACAGTGAAGAACAGTGGCCAAAGTAAATGTGGACACTAATTTTATCAAGATTATTAGCCAATGGGGTAATTCTAAAACTTTGACCGAGATTGATGAGCACAACCAATTTAGCACATGAGGTTGTAAAACCCATTCATAATCGCGCATTGTGTCCGAATAAATTCTGATTCGCTCTCCAAACGGCTATGGTCAGTTAAGTACCACCATGGAGCGAATTAGTCATTGAGCTTTACTTTACGATAATACAATTCACATCGATGAGTAAGTGGCCTCTATGAGAAAGATATAGATGGAATCAATTGCTATTCAATCTACTCATGTTGCATAGTTTGTTTTCATCAAATGCGTTGCGTATTTTATGAGTTTTGCATTGGTTATTTTTATGAACTATATTTTGAGAGCTGGTTTTTGTGAGTGCAACAACATGGTTAAAGTTTTTTCTAGACAACACTATTCTCATGTAAATCTATCAGATTCCTTGTTGTTTCCATAAAAGGGTCAGTGATCGATGCGAGGTCGAAAACGGTCCCAATATGCGTTTCACGAGAAAACAATTTCGAATGCTAGAGATACTTTAGCACTCGTTGGAGATGCAGCAGTAGCTGTTCAAATGTTAGACAAAACTCAAAAAAATTCATGAACGACTTCGTAAAAGTTGCACTTGCTAGCAGAGAAGTGTGGAAAATAGAATTAGCGTGTTCGACTGACATCCTCATATGATCGGGAGTTTCTCGTTTTTCAGGCGTTATGCAGTCAGCACAGTATTCGTTTGGAACGACCACAACTACCCCTGAAAGCAGATTACAAACTGTGAATTAACTCAAGTTAGTTCGAGAATTATGCGGCCAAAAACTTTTTCAATCGATATTGAAAATATTCTGTTCTATTCTATTCTTTCATAGAGATGCATCGAAATGAAGAAATAACAGTGGTGTGCTTTAAGTTGATTGCAAATGGTCGAGTGCATTCACTGAGTATTATTACAACATAATTTTGAATGCCTTTATATTGTTTTATATTATTGTGAGTATCTCAAGTGTCCGAGTCGAATTCCTTACGGCTACAACACCTTGTGTGGTATCATTTGCGTGACAACTTGACGGCATTCTGTGAAGTGACTAACCACTTCCGAGCGACGTTGAACGTAAATTACTCTGAAGTTCATGCCGTGCTGCAAATATCAAACGTTTTTTTCGAGCTATTGCGATGCGCCTCCAGGAAATAATAATCACCAGAGTAATGAGCACTATGCAGACTCCTGTCGTTGTTAGTACTATGAGCAATACCATACTGCCTGAAACACACACTTCAGAAGAGTTTATCAACGCACACGGTCACTGGAGTGGTATGCGATACGAGTACTTCATTCATTTGAGCTTCTTACGGCTATTAGGAAAACACATGATCATTAAACTTATTAAGAGCGGTGTCATTGTTTTGCTGGAGTGCTTATAGCATTGCAGCATCAGAATTTGAAATGATCACCANTACTAATTGAGATAATATACTACTGTTTTTAAATGATTTCATAGTCTTAAAGTCAACGTCTCTCCTCGATCACACTTTGGGTATTCTGATAAGTTTGATTTGACAAATCGCTCAAACCGTCTGCAGTGATTAATAGAAATAAGGAAAAACAAGATGAGAGCTGTAACCTCCTTCCGTGTCTACAACATTTTCGGTCGGAGGACACGTATACAATCGGATGGCATAAGCTTCCCAATCGTTCTTTATTTGGAACACATCTGCGTACGTATTGCAGTAGTCAAACAAGGATTTCACTTGGCACACTTAAATATTAGTATCATTTTATTAAAGTGTTCTAGTCAGTATTACGATTCTCTTCAACATGCGAACATTTCTCGGAAGTCGCAGTAGCACAGTCGAGAAGTTTTAATTCAAAAGTCATCAGTTTTAGAAACAAATGAAGAAAACTGTCATTATAAACACACAACATTATAAACTGTTACTTTGATGATTTTTCTGCATCATATTAGAATAGTTAATCACCCTTTCAATCAATTCGATAGAGCGACAATTTACATTCCGTTTCATTGAATCCGTCAAATGAATAAAGTGAAAAACTCACATGGATTGTTGTCGAGATTACCAAGATCGTCAAAATAAATAATGCGGAACACATATCCAATGCTATTTAAAAAATCCGTGTACTTATCTTGCTCTTCGATTAATTTATACAACTGAAAATAGACGTGCGTCCTTTACTCATTAGTAAGGGAGTCATCTCATGTTGGTGTTCTTTTCAAAATCCTATTAGACACTATAAACCGTTTCTATGAATGGATGATGGCTCCGCGTCACAGTTCACTAAGTAAAAGCTCGTTTGAGTAATGTCATTTTAATCCTCGACTTTTGTGGTCTTTCACGCGTTATTCTCTAATGTTATCAATCATCGCAGCTCAAGCAATAGGATGTGTCGATTTAAAAAGCACTGAAAGAATAATCAAGATAAGCGAAATAATAATGCTTGCAACACAACGGTATTAGTATCTTCTACCTGTGTGCACATCGAGTCGCATGGAACATTCGTGATAAAGAAAACAGTTCCACCTCTAACAAACGTCGAATGGTTCAAACAAGATTGCAATTTTTGAAATAAACTGTAGATAATTGCACCTGTATCATTCGTTAATATTGCTGCATTTGATAAATTTATTGGATGAAGTAGACGATCGCATTCGGGTGAATCAACCTGATTGAATGGTTCATTCATCTTCATAGTGTTTCCTTAGTGTTGAGTATCTTTTAATTAACCTTGTGAGTGCGCTTAACACATTTAATCATGAAAAGTCAGACATTACTCTCAGCTATGCAGCAAAACTAAATGTCAACCAGAACACAGTTGAAATGAACGATCAACGTTACAATTTTTAGTAGAATAGAAGTTGGAGGGAGATGTGAATTTCGTCGAGAACGTTTGTAAGGAAATGGATGATAACAGTTGTGCGAATTACGGTTGTTCACGATGCTCAATTTTTCTGTAAGTATTCCTATCAAAACATTTTTGCAATTAATTTTTGGAAACTTTTATCTGTCGTTAAATAATTTCGTGTGGTAAGATAGTAGTGTTCTTTGTGATGAAAATCACAGAGATTTTAATCGAAGCGTTCGTTGTCTTCAACGAACAACTAAAGCGAATGCATATGTATCACATCGCTTACATCACACTTCAAACCACACTCGTGGTCTTTATACCCAGTCGTGTAAAACGTTAGCGATGATCGTTGATCACAATTTTTCACTGTGTACTCGATTAACGACTGAATTTGTTGTAGGGTGGAAGCGGTTGTGTTGGAGCGAAGAGCCANACATCCCATGTTTCGCACATTGGTGGCGTGTAGTCACGACCAGCTGAAACTAGCTCTATCATTGGATGATCTACTGTGAGGGCGAAATCACTTTGCACTGCTCCATTCAATTAGTCACACAAAAGAATAGCGCTTACTTAAAGAATCGTATTAGAATTAATGTCAAGGCTGTGCCTAACGAGAAGCCATCTCAACGGAATTGTGTTTACGTTAAGTTTTCAGTCGCAATAACTCAGTACGCAACAGCTTAGAGAACAAATATTATATTAGTACGAAGAAGTGATGCATCAAATGCAAATAATCAAAGGAAAGCTCAGAGCCACGCCATTTGTTCTGTAACGTGCTTTCTTGTGATCCACCACGCTCGACTGAATGAAGGCATGAATGTTCAGTTTTTCCAATAAAATCAACACCATGCGCAATGGATAACTGAGCAAGACATGTACACATATATCAAAAACTAACTCACTTCCATAACACGAACCGTTGAAAATAACTGGATTGTCATAACTGAAAATGATTCGTGAACGTTCGGGAGATATAGCAGAGCAATCATCAGTGCTCGCGAATGCTGTTTCGAATAATATATTAGTTGTGCATACCATACTGAGAAGAGTTAATAACATGCTGAAATGTATCGCATTGAGTAAATGTACATTGCAATTAAGACGAGACAAGACGGCAAGGATTGCGAAAGCACAAGCAGCGCTGATCATGCAAAACAGAACGTGATAATGATAAGTGACATTATCACATAATCGATTGCAGTGATAGCTTGAAGTGCATCAAGCA